TTTCATCGCATATTTCGTCCCCTTTTTGGCGTTTTTTGCTACGTCTTTCTTTGTGGCCCTTTTCTTCCGCCAATTTTTGTACTCCTTTTGCCATTTTTTTTCAATGCTTTTTTGTAATTGCATTCTTTTGCTGCGCCTTTATGACATTTTGTCGCCAGTTTTTGTTACATTTTTCTCTTTTTGTCGCGTCTTTGTGGCCTTTTTTCGCCTTCTTTTGTTACTTTTTTGTAGTCTCTTTTTGTTGTCTCAATTCTTTTGGAGTTTCCGTTGCCTTTTTCATCATTTTCCGCATATTTTTTTCATCTTTCGTTTCGTCTTTTATTGTCAGCTATTTTTGTACACTTTTTAATCGTTTTTTCGCCAGTTTTGTCCCTTTTTTATGCCTTGTTTTGTCATTTTTTTAAATCATCTTTTTTTCGCTTTTTAATTTCTTGTGGCCCTTTTTGTTAGCATTTTTGTGAATATTTTTTTTTGGTATGTTTCTAATGGGTTGTTCGGCGCCTTTTTTCATTGCATTCTTTGTCCCTTCTTTTAGGTTTTTTTAGTCGCATTTTTCTTTGTCGCCTTTTCGCCATTTTTTTGGTCCCTTTTTGCCGTTCTTTTTTATGGATATTTTTGGCCGCATTTTTTCCACATTTTTTGTCGTCTTTTTAATAACTCTTTTTTTTTTGTTTTTTCGGATATTTTTTGTTCGTGTTTTTGCGGATTTTTGTTTCTGTTTCTTTTTTTCAGTTGCTTTCTTTTGCTACTTTGTTGTTGATTTTTTTGAGTTTTTTTGGCACCTTTTTTTATCGCATATTTCGTCTCCTTTTTGGCGTTTTTTGCCACGTCTTTCTTTGTGCAATTTTTTTCCGCCAATTTTTGTACTCCTTTTGGCTTTTTTTTTTGCTTTTTTTGTAACCATTTTTTTGCTACTCTTTTATGACATTTTGTCGCCAGTTTTTGTTACATTTTTGTCTCTTTTTGTCGGGTCTTTGTAGCCTTTTTTCTCCTTCTTTTGTCACTTTTTTGTTGTTCTAATTCTTCTGGACTCTCCCTTGCCTTTTTATCATTTTCCGAATATTTTTTTCATCTTTGGTTTCGTCTCTTTTTTATCAGCTATTTTTTTTACTCCTTTTAATCGTTGGTTCGCCATTTGTGTCCATTTTTTATGCCCTCCTCTTATCACCTTTTTTTTTTAACCTTTTTTTATTTTTTTGTGGCCCTATTTGGTTATATTTTAGTGAACTTTTTTTTGTCGCTGTTTTCTTTGTTGCCCTTTGACATTTTTTTCTGTTGGTTTTCTTTGTAGCTATTTTTTGGTCCATCGTTGGCGTTCTTTTTTTGGAATTTTTTGTAGCATTTTTTTCTGGACTGGTGTCGTTTTTTGAAACTATTTTTTGTTGCTTTTTTCCATATTTTTTGTTCACGTTTTTGTGATTTTTTCAGTCATTTTTTTTGCTGCTTTGTTTTTGCTTTTTTTGCGGGTTTTTCGGTACCTTTTCATCTAATGTTTCGTCCCTTTTTGGCGTATTTCGCCAATTTTTGTACTCATTTTGAAATTTTTTAACCATTCTTTTGTCGCTTTTTTCATCGCGTTTTTTTTGTAGAATTTTTGTCATACTTTTATTGCCTTTTTATCACCTTTTTGTAGCCATTTTCTGCATTTGTTTTCGGCTCTTTTTCTATCCTCTTTTTTATCGCTTATTTTGACATTTTTTTGTCGCTTCTTTTGGTCCTTTGTTAATCACCTTTTTCGACCTTTTTTTGTAGCCTCTTTTTATCGCATTTTTGCGTTTTCTTTTTCCATTTTTTTGGTTACATTGCTTGTGTTTTTCTGCAGCGCCTTCCTTCGTGATCTTTTTTTTTGGCATTTTTTGTCGGCTCTTTTTTAATTGCCATTTTTTCCTAAACCTTTTGGAGTCACTTTTCAAATGCCTTTTTTGTCGCATTTTTTGGATTTTTTTGTCGTCTTTTTATTGCTTTTTTCGATATTTCTATTCGCGTTTTTTGATTTTTTTCCTCCGTTTTATCGTGTTTTTTTCAATCGCTTTCTTTTGCTACTCTTTTGTTGTCTCTTTGTGGGTTTTTCGCTACCTTTTTTTTCATTGAAAGTTTCATCCCCTTTTTGGCGTTTTTCGCCAATTTTTGTACTCCTTTTGGCATTTTTTTTCAAGGTTTCTTTTGTAAACATTCTTTTGCCGCGTTTTTTTGTTTCATATTTGTCTCTTCTTTGTCACGTCTTTGTAGGTTTTTTTTAATTGTTTTTGTCGACCTTTTTTTATAGCAGTTGTTTTATCACTTTTTGTCGCATTTTTTACACTTTTTATTGCGTTTTATCACTTTTTTGTAGCCATTTTCCGTATTTCTCGCCCCTCTTTTATTTTTTTGTAGCCTTTTTTTTTGTTGCATTGTTCCTATGTTTTTTCATCGCAGGTTTTGTCCCTTTTTTGCGATTTTTTTTTATGACCTCTTTCTTTGTGACCTTTTTTCGGCATTTCTTATCGGCTCTTTTTTTGAATTGTCTTTTTTTTTCTAGACTTTTTGTCGTCTTCTTTGGAGCGATTTTTTGTCGTCGCATTTTTCATCGTCCTTTTGTGTCGCATTTTTTTGGTTTTTGGTCTGCTTTTTTTTCTGTTTTATCGTGTGTTATTTTAGTCACCTTCTTTAGCTACTTTTTCGTTGCTTTTTTTTTGTGGGTTTTTCACCACCTTTTTTTTCATCGAATATTTCATCCCCTTTTAGGTGTTTTTCGCCAATTTTTGTACTCGTTTTGGCATTTTTTTTTTCAAGGTTTTTTGTTATCATTTTTGTGTCGCTTCTTATCTGCACTTTTTACCTTTTTTTTTATCGCGTCCTTGCAGCTTTTCTTCAAAGCACCTTTTGGCGACCATTTTAATAGCCGTACTTTTGTCACTTTTTTGTCGTCTCTTCTTTGTGGCATTTTTTACACTTTTTGTTGCCTTTTTATCAACTTTTTTTGTAGCCATTTTCCGCACTTTTTATCGGCTATTTTTACATCCTCTTTTTTATCGCTTGTTTGCCTTTTTTTGTAGCTTCTTTTGGTCCCTTTTTTAATCACCGCTATTTGTTGCCTTTTTTCGACGATTTGGTAACATTTTTGTCCTTTTTTTAGGCGTTTTTCTTTTCCCATATATTTTTTTTAGTTTTTTTTAAACATTTTTTTGTCGTTTATTTGTCGCGTCTTTTAGTGCCTCTTTTAATCTCCGTTTTTTCATTTTGTGAATTTTTTCTTTGCATTTTTTTGTCTCTTTTTTTGTTACGTCTTTGTAGTCTTTTTTCCAAATTTTTGTCGTTTTTTTATGGCATTTTGTCGTTTTCTTCCTTTTTTTTTTCGCTGATTTTATGTCGGCCTTATTTATAGCCCCACTTTTTTCACGTTTTTGTGGTCTCTTTCTTTTTGTCGTTTCTTTTGGTCACTTTTTTTAATGACCGTTATTTGTTGCCCTTTTTCGTATTTTTCTGGGCTTCTTTATAATTTTTTATTGTCGCCATTTTCGGTTTTTTTAATCATTGTTTTTTCATTTTGTGATTTTTTTATAGCATTTTTGTCTCTTGTTTGTGGTGTCTTTGTAGTCTTTTTTTCATATTTTTGTAGCTTTTTTGCCATTTTGTCATTTTTTCGTTGAGTTTATGTCAGCCTTTTTTTAGACCTTCTTTTGTGACATTTTTGGTGAGTTTTTATGGATTTTTTGTTGTCGGTTGTTGTTTTTTGCCGATAAATTACACGTATAAACTCAGTATTTGCACGTTTCAGATTGGATTTATTTATTGAAAAACGATTTACCATGCCGACGATAACCTTGAAAACGTTTGCAAAATTTCAAATCATTCAGTTTTGCAGTTTCAAAATGAAATTAATGCTATTATACAAGTTTCATTGTGGATACTTTCAATAAAAAATCAAGATAGGTTCATAAACCAACAAGCTTTCTAAAGATGGTGTTCGTAATTTTTGAACGACTTCAGTTTCAAAATAAAAGGTAAGAAAAAAAGTAAAAAAAACAAATAAAAAGAAAATTAAAACCATAAGATCTACTTAATAATCGTCAATATTTTGAAACAACATCAAGGTTATTGCAAAAAGATCTAGACGCAATAGCTAAGCGGTGTGATAACAAAATATGTTATTGAATAAATTGAATGTATAAATGTAAATAAATCTCGTTTTGTACGAAAGTTACTAATGTAGCAAATCGTTGCATTTTGAATAAATCGCTATCGAAAAAAGCGTCTGAACTTGATGATCTAGATGCTATCGTAGCTGAATTCCTTTTTGATAAACAAATCGACAATGCTATTTGTAGAACACAGGGTTTGTGGTATAATATACACAGTTTTTAATTTATTTTTGACAAAGATAAAATTTCAAATTTATTTTAAGACGTGAAAATAAATAATAAATGTGAGCGAAAGGAAACGATAGAAGAAAAAAAATCTCTTATATGGATTTTCAATACGGTTCGTGGGATGACACTTGTAAATAAAGTCCCCTATGTTTGCTATGTTTTGATAAAATTTGGTTTTTCCGGACTCGAATACGTGTCTAGTTAAGGCCCCCTTTTTAGCACAATAGTGAAAGATAAGTCTAAATTTGTCGACTAATGTCACTAAAAATGGAACAATAGGAAACCGATTATACTCGACGTTCCAGCTACAATCGCCTGTGATAAACCTACGAGCTCCTTTACGCCCCCTTATCCTCACCGAACCTCTCAATCTCAGTTCACCTGCACACATTATTTGCAAGCAATAGCATAAACATCGTTGTTTACAGAACCTTGAGATTGACTCATCCGGCCACAATTAACCATCGTTAGACGAGCATTCCCCTCTGTCACCAGCCCACCTGTGTCCCGAAATCCGGAAGCCCCCCCTGTAAAATTCCCCCATCGCCAAACAAAGAGCCGCAAAAATAAACCCATAAATTTCCAGCCGCTCTTTGTTCTAAACCCGCTCCTTTGTCCCGCTGGCAGGATGGGTAACAACGAAAAACTCACTTTCCTGGTCCTGATTTTCCGGGCGATGGAAGAGGCCGACTCCAGGAGCAGAAGGTCCTTGATCGGCGGCATCTGCTCCCCCGGGCCTCCATACACCAGCTTGAATAGGAAGTGAAACAGCACCTCCACAACCCCATGGACGACCCTGATCACCGCCTTGGTGAACTGTTTCATGTCAGTCATTTCGTCGCGACAATCAAGCGAAAACCGCTGAAACCGCCACACACATCACAAACACACTCGGAACTAAAAGAAATTCGAGCAATTCAGCTGCTGCTACGCGTAAATTGATATCCCCACTCACTGTCATCGACTGGAATAAATTTGTGGTTATGAACAAAAGTGAGGTTATGTCGGATTGTGCGGACTCGAAATCGTTAAAAAAGTGGGACGCGGCGGCGTGTGTGTGAAATAATACAGTTGTCTGATTGGAAAATCGAATCGAGGGATTGTGCCGGCCGCCCCGCCGGAAAGCGCGATTGATCCCCCAGCCCCCATAGCGAAAGTGAGGTTAGGTCAGCTGTCAAACCCGCGATTACCGGATTCCCGGTATCGGCGTAATTGTTCCACGAAACGGCTGCACCACGTCGATCCCCGTGCATTATTTAGCGCTTTATCGACCGGCAGCCCCCAGCACCCCAACCCAAATATTTACTTGGCAGACGCTCAATGTTTATGTTTTTACACAGTTCGGGGAATCAAGTCAGTCGGACAAGTGCATCTGCAGTGTAAGTTCCTCTAGAAGTCTCTCATTTATTTCATAAGTTTGGCAAATTCTACGGTATTGATTTTGCTTGTAGGGTACGGTGTGCCGTGAGTGCGCATGAGTGTTTTTGCTCGAGATGAATCCGAAGAGTAGTTCGAAGAGCCCCAGCAGGAGCGGCAAGCTGGGTTCGGACTTCGCCTCGCAGAGGGCGGTGGTGCCGCCGGTTTTGCGCGAGGTCGGGAAGTTGGCGGCGGGGGTGGCCTCGGTCAGCACGAATTCTGGAGGATCAGCAACAGGTAATTTTGTTATTGGGGTGGTGTGGGGCCGGCTTTCTGCGGAAATTGTGTTAGGGATTTTTTTGCTTGGTTGAAAGAGTTCGGCGGTGGGTTTTGAAGCGACATCTGTTGCTGGAGTTGGAAGATTTTTGCTAATTTCATTCAAGTTTCTAGTGCAAACAGTTGTTTAATATAAAAATCTGAACATCAAGAATTGTTATCTAATTATGTTGACCTTCAGATAAAGAATAGCGTGGTGATAAAGTTTACTGATATTAGTTAAGTTGAAGTATCATGAATTTCGACCGTACATCATATGATCTCAAGTGCAGAGATACTTCAAATTTGATTGTTCTCTGATTGAATTGTTGTATAACATTGTAGGCTCAAATATCTTTGATTATATTATTTTAATTGTTTATTAAAATGTAGGTTTTGCTAGTATTGTTCAACACGGATTCATACGTCACAAAACAATTAAAAAAATATATTACGTAGTGTAAATTTTAGTTACCGTTTTGCCATCTACTAATACATATACGTAAATACAAAATTTGACAACAATCGGTCCAGTAGTTTCGGAGATTACGTCTTCAATAAAAATTCATACAGACGACAGACAGACAGACGACAGGCAGACGGAAACGTCGAGAAAACATGAAAGTGGCAAATCGCCCGATGGATACTTATGCTTATGCTCAGGAAGTAAAAATCGAAAAATGGGAAATTTAAAAAAATTAAAATTCAAAAATTTAAAAATTCCAAACATTTAAAATAGACATAGGTATCGAAGATCTGAAAAATCGAGAAATCGAAAAATTCAAAATTTAAAAAATCGGGATATTTGTAAACAGGAAAATTAAAGAGTCGAAAAATTGGAAAATTGTAGAATCGAAAAACTGAAAAATCGTGAATTTGAAAATTTTCAAAACTGCAGTGACGAAGAATTGGGAAATCGAAAAATTGAAAAATCCAAAATTCGAAAAATCGAAAAGTTAAACATTTAAAAATTTACAGTTAAAAAAACTGAAAAATTCTAAATAAAAAAAAAACAATCCTAAATTTTTAAAAATAGAAGAATTGGAAAATCGAAAAATGCAGAAATCGAAACTTCCAAAATTGAAAAATTGAACAATCGATGAATGGGAAAGTGGAATTGAAAAACTGGAAAATTGAAAAATCCGAAAAATCTAAAAGCGAAAATTCGAAAAACCGAGAAATCGAAAAATCGAAAAGTAAAAAATTGAAAAAATTAAAATGAAAAAATCTGGAAATTGTAAAGTAAAACAAAAAATTGAAAAATTGAAAAATCGAAAAATCTGGAAATCACAAAGTCAAAAAATCGAAGTTAATCAATCCAGGTTGAAAAATCGAATTTAAAAAATCAAAAAATCGAAGTCAAAAACTTAAAAATGGAAAAATTGAAGTCAAAAACTGGAAAAATCGAAAAATTGAAAAAATGAAAAATCGAGAATTCGAAAGATTGAAATATCGAAATCTGTTAATTCGAGAATTTGAAAAATTGAAAAACTGAACAATCGTAAAATTTAAAATTTTAATAATTGAAAAATTGGAAAACCCGAAAACCGATAATTCGATACATCAAAAAACTGAAAAATCTAAAATTTAAAAAAGACATCAAAAAACTGAAAAATCGAAACAGCAAAAAATTGGAAAATTGAAAAATCTAAAATTGGAAAATTGAGAAATCGAGAAATCCAAAATTCGAAAAACCGAGAAATCGAAAAATCGGAAAGTTAAAAATTTAAAAATTTGCAATTAAAAAACTGGAAAATTCAAAATTAAAAAAAACAATCGATAAATCAAAAAATCGAAAAATTGAAACACCAGGAAATTGAACAATCGAAAGATCGAAACATCGAAATCTGGATAAATCAAAATATTGAAAAATCGAAAAATATAGAACTGAAAAATCGAAAAACCGAAAAATAAAAAAAAAAGAAAAATCCAGAAATCGAAAAATTCTAAAATTGCAGTGACGAAGAATTGGGAAATCGAAAAATTGAAAAATCCAAAATCCGAAAAATCGAAAAGTTAAAAATTTTAAAATTTACAATTAAAAAAAAACACGAAAAATTCAAAATTAAAAAAAGAAACAATTGAAATATCGAAAAATTGAACAATCGGAAGATCGAAACATCGAAATTCTAAAATTTTAAAAACAGAAGAATTGGAAAATCCAAAAATGGAGAAACCGAAAAATCCAAAATTGAAAAATTGCACAATTGAACAATCTAAAAATGGTAAAAATGGAATCGAAAAACTGGAAAATTGGAAAATCTAAAAAATCTAAAAGCGAAAAATCGAAAAACCGAGAAATCGAAAAATCGAAAAGTAAAAACTGAAAAATTTAAAATGAAAAAAATCTGGAAATTGTAGAATAAAACAAAAAATCGAAAAATTTGGAAATCGAAAAGTCAAACAATCGAAGTTAAGCAATTCAGGTCGAAAAATCGAATTTAAAAAATCAAAAAATTGAAGTCAACAACTTGAAAAATGCAAAAATTGAAGTGAAAAACTGGAAAAATCGAAAAATGGAAGTCAAAAACTGGAAAAATCGAAAATTGAAAAACAAAAATCGAAAAATCGAGAATTCGAAATATTGAAATCTCGTTAAATCGAGAAAATTGAAAAACTGAACAATCGTAAAATCCAAAATTTTAATAATTGAAAAATTGGAAAACCCAAAGACCGATACTTCGAAACATCAAAAAACTGAAAAATCTAAAATTTAAAGATTCCAAAAATTGAAAAAAGACATCGAAGAACTGAAAAATCAAAACAACAAAAAATCGGAAAATCGGAAAGTTCAAAAATTACAAAAATTACAATTAAAAAACTGGAAAATTCAAAATTAAAAAAAAAGTTGATAAATCAAAAAATCGAAAAATTGAAACATCGGGAAATTGAACATTCGAAAGTTCGAAACATTGAAATCTCGATAAATCGAAATATTGAAAAATCGAAAAATCTAAAAAACCGGGAAGTCGAAAAACCGAAAAATCCAAAATTTAAAAAATTGAAGAATCGAAAAATTAGAAAATTGAAAAATTCAAAAGTCTAAAATCCGAAAAATCGAAAAATCGACAAACTGAAACATTGAAAAATCTAAAAATCTGGAAATTGAAAAATTGAAGTCGAAAAATCAAATGTACAAAAATGAAAAAATTGAATTCAAAAACTTGAAAAATCTAAAAATTGAAAAACCGGAAAACTGAAAAATCGATAAGTCGAAAGATCGTTAATTGGAGAACTCGAAAAATTGAAGCGCTGAAAAATTTTAAAAATCGAAAAATTGGAACATCGAAAATCTATGACCGAGAATTCGAAATATCAAGAAAACGAAAAATCTAAATTTAAAGAATTCGAAAAATTCAAAAGTTGAAATATCGAAACAAAAGATTCGAAAAACCGAAAAATCCAAATTTAAAACGAAAAATTGTAAATTCGAAAAAAAATGAATCAAAAAATTGAAAAATCCCAAAACTGAAACATTAAAATATCGACAATTGAAAAATAAAAAAGTCAGAAGTTCAAAAATCGAAATCGAAAAATCGAATTTACAAAAACTCAAAAAATTGAAGTCAAAAACTTGAAAAATCTAAAAACTGAAAAACTGGAAAAGCGAAAAATCGAGAAGTCGAAAAATCGAAAAATTTAAAAATTGAAAACTCGAGAAACTGAAACATCGGAAAATTGAGAAATTGGCAAATGAAAAATTTGAAGAATCTAGAAATTAAAGAATCGAAAAATTGAAAAATCTCAAAACTGAAATATCAGACAACGAAAAGTCAAAAGTTGAATGAAAATCGAAAAAATCGAAAATTCGAAAAATTGTTATATCTATAATTTTTAAATTTAAATAACTTGAGTAGACAATTTTTGGTTAGAGTTTTACCATGTTCATTGTACTAAAATCGACACAGACAGAGAAACGGAGGACAAGTAGATAGGCAGACAGACGACAGGTACACGGAAATAGGGATCTACTTTTTTATAGTCTAGGTGTCATGAAACGTCGAGAAAAGATAAAAGTAGCCGTCCGTCCTGTGCTCCCTAGTACAATACTTACAATTTAATTCATTCATCCCCTCGAGAGAGTTGATGACGTTATCTCAAACAATTATTAAATAAATAAATCTCTCAAAAATTGCTCATCAAATTTTCCTAACATGTATTATGACAAAACGATGACATGCTTAAAGCTAAAAGTAACTTAAAAGAAATTTATGTCTTAATTTTGACACGATTCTTGCTATTCCAAGACCGACTTGGCACACTTACAACTGTGTAAGCATCCCTTAAGCGAATGCCACCACTCAAAACAGAAACCTAAAACCATCGTTAATGACCTCGGATTTCGTTCAATTTAGTCAGACAGACAAGATCAATGTCCGACATGCCTCGTAATTTCAGTTGCAGCGAAAATAAAGTGTTTGTAGTTAAGTGCGAGTGCAATAATTGTTCCATTGGTGTTTTAATGCTGTTGCTACGCTAAAATGAACCGAAAACGTCGGCGGTTGTTCCGAACCAATCAGTGATAATGAGTCCTAAAAAATTCATTGCTCCATTGTTTGACATTATTTCTGAATCTACTTAGTAATTTATTTTAGGTTGTTTTTTTTTAATTACTTAATTAATAAAATATTTTTTTTAATTTAACGTTTAACATTTGTGACAACCGAGTCTCCGATTGGATAGTTCAAATCGCACACCGCCTCAATTAATCATTTCACCTCCAAGATCCTTGCCAGCAAAAACCCAAAAACACCGTAATTCCCGCAAATCCCCCAAATCCGGTCGTTCATCCGGAAATCACCATTTAATTGCATACACGTGCCACTTTTTACACGAACCACCAACAAAGAGGCGATTTTATCAAAGCTCTCAAAGCCGTTTCTTTGATCTTCGTGCTTTCGAGGTCAGATGATAAAGAACAGATAGACGTCCGTGATGGCATCGTCGCTGATAGAAAATATCAAACGGCGATGTTTTCGTTC